ATTAAAAAAGTTGTTAAACATCTGAGTGGTGCACTACCGCTTCTAGTGGTGTGAAAGTGTATTGCACCTTATTTAAAATCAACGCGGTCCCACAGCCCTCTGCGGTCCAAAGTTAAAAACTGTTGTTCTTTTGAGGCCCTCAATTGGGCCGCGGCCCACGGGTTAAGAATCTCTGATTTAATCCATCCACAAGATTTTCACATTTTCATCTTAAATGTTCTATATTAGATATTTGACAACATTGCTTAAGATCACACAGAACATAACTTATAAGGTTTGACTAAAACAGCTCAGTCTGTTTACTTTCTTTGTCTAAATCCCAGGCATGAAAGGTGATGGGCCATATGCATTCCTTTAATTTCACTTTATTACTCTATGGGTTACAGCAGGTAGTAAAACGTCACGCAGCTCCTTCTTTGGTCCTGGTTTTGAAACAGTCTCCTGTGTTTGTCCAGATGTTGCATCGAATGAGACCACTGAGGACTCTTCATCAGCTTTTTATGACCCTCTTGGCCTTGCCCAGCTCTCTTCAAGCAACACGGGTGTTTGATAAAGTGAGTGTTTCATCTTTTCTGTTTTGTATGTTTCTGTTATTAGTTGCAGTTCTCCCAGTGTTTTCTCTGTAGCCTCTTTCATAAGTCAAATCTACCAAATCACTGCACAGACCTGTTCTCGGGTCGTTCTTTTGTAGGGGTACACCCTAGTCTTCTTATAACAAAATTTATAAGGAAATTTTCACAAGTCCTCTTATTTTCAGGAAATACCTTCTTTATACAAAATTGAATGGACAAAACACAATAAGATGGGCGTACTCAATGACTAGTTTGATCTAACAATAAATGTGGTCATTTATTTACAGAATGAAAACAAAATCACGAATGTACACTTATTTGTGAGCTTAAATTTCCTTTAAACAATTTAACGACAAACTTTGAGGTTCAGATGTTATTAAAGGGGACTTATTATGCAAAATTCACTTTTTAAAGTTTTTTTTTTACTCAACTTTGGGTATGTACTTCTTAAAGAAACAGTTCTAGGACGAAAAAATGCATCCAGGGGCATATTTACTGTAAGTAAATGTATTTTTAATGTGTATTAACGACAAGTTTTATACTTCYGTCATTTTATGATGTCACAAGCCGTACGACAACCCACCTGAACCTGCGTTCAGCCCCTTACCTAGCAACCCCCGGGTGAAGCTCCACCTCCTCAGTATAAAAAGCCGTCACCGTTGTTGTGTAATGTGCAGCTCATTTCACAACAAGCCTCCAATAGGGCAATGGGTAGAGCAGGGGTTCTTAACCTTTTTGACCTTGAGGCCCAATTTGTTGAACATAAAGTGGCACGAGGCCCAGTCAGACATTGCCAGTGTAT